TAACTGAGATCTATCCAGAGTTATCTCTTCCAGAAGATACAAAAACTCTTGGTGAGGTATGTAAATATCAAAACATATAGGAGAAGTTTTTTTTTTCGATGAGAAAACGTTGAAAAAGTTAGTTATTTAGATTCGAAATTTTGATGCAGATTTCTGTGTTGATGCAAATACTGATCCCAAACATTTCAATGAGCCAGTAATTAGTTATCCATGTCATAATGAAGGTGGTAATCAAGTATATATCAATATTCTTTGTTTATATCAAATAGTATATTTGTTTTGTTTGATGTAGTTTTTTATGTTAACCAAAATAGGTGAAATTCGTCGAGATCATGGATGTTTAGAATATAATGGTGGAATAGCAGATATTAATAAAGATGATAAAGTTCTTGTTTTCTCATGTCATGGCGAAAAAGGAAATCAATATTGGATTTATAATGAGGTTTGTTTATGCTCAAACTTATTATCCGTCTCTCTCTCTCTCGAAGATGCAAACTTAAAACACTAGGTTTTTCAGTGGAGTGAGGGCAGGTTATAAGGTCATAAATCGACTGGAAGCCTTACTGTCTTATATTAAGTGAAAGGTCACGTTGAGATAAGCAATTTGTTTTGTAATAGAACTAATTATTTTTCAACAGACAAATAAAAAGTTTGAACAAGGTCATTAGTTTGTGTTTTTGGGACCTAAATTACTTCCCTCTCTAATCTGATATGATATTCCTATTTATATGAAGAACATGGGGAAAAAAAAACTTTTTACTGCAACTATCAGGTGATATGGTCCTGTAACACTGCTATAAATATCAAGTCTTTTTGCTTTAGTTCTTCGGACGTTAGAGTCGAAATACGATCCTTGAAAAGTCCTGAAAATTCATCTTCAGTCTATCAGACACGCTTAGTATGGATCTTCGATCTCTTCAACGGAATGAACGAACGTCATCATTCTTTCATTATTAACAGTTGTTAGCTTTAGCTAAAAAAACTCTAACTGGAACTTCATATATCAATGAAGGAAGACATCTGAAAGAGACACAGGCAGCTATCGAAGTGTCGATTCCGGTTCTAGGTAAAAATCAATAGTATTCTGTATGTTTGCTCTCCGATAGTGCTCTAAATAAAAAAACCTAATACTAGGATCATGTTCAACATAAAAAACTGAGTCGATCTACGGATGTTTGAAATTCGTACGGCAACTTTTATTTTCGTAGAGAAATTCGCCTCATGCTTTCTTCAGAGATAGCTTAAAAAAGAAGTTCATTCAAAATCTTGTTCAGATGTCTTTCTTCATCGATATTCCGAGTTTGAGTTATTGGCTCTTAGTTAATTGAAGAACTCTTTATAGTGTAAGAATGGTAATATTTGTTCTTACTGTTGAAAAGATCGAAGAACTACACTAAAGGTTTTTGTTAGTTTAAAGGTAGGATTTTTGAAGGTCATATTTCGGCTATAAAGATAGAAGAACTAAATCGAAAAACCTTGATATTTATAGCAGTGTTAGAGAACCATATGACCTAGTAGTTGTAATAGAATAACCATTTTCTCTCAATCTCTTCATATAGATAAGGAGTACCACATCAAATTAGTGTTCTCTACGAGCACTATTTTGTCGCACTTCGATCCCAATCGGTATTTTTTTAAACATGGGCTCTGCCTGATCCTGAATACCTGTATCCTGTACCTAACTGGACCGTGATCAAAGCTAATCGATATTCGATGAATCCTTTCACAGTCATAGTACAGTTTTTAAGCTTTTACTTTATGTGAAAAAGTATACTGTTTACTGTCTTCCATAAATAGTAACAAAACGGAGAAATCATCTCAAATTCCATAAAAAAAACTAGGTCAATAAAGTGTTTTGGAATTCACTTGGTGTCTTTCTGCTTCTAAGACTCAATCACTTTGGCAAGTAAATATTTGCTCGTTGCTGACGAAGCTAGAATGGAACACAGAGTAGTACTAAGCATCATATTTGTGGCTATATATACGAATACTTTTTTCATCAAGATAATACATGTTCATCTTTTTGATAGTTTATTTTTCTCTTCGTATATTCAGTCACTATGTTATATAGGCTTTAATCATCTGTAGATAAATTTTCATTAAAAATGAATTCTTTTTGTAAACTGATATTGCTTTCTATTTCTGTGATCTCTTCTCAAGTATTGAAAGTTGCTCAATCATGATCAAACCAATTTTCATTTCTATGCTTTTATATTTATAATCATTTGGAAAAGTAAAAATATTTTGACACATCAAAATGTCATATCTACTATCGAATTGGATACTGAGTACTCGATTTGGTGGCAGAACAATATATCAGATTGATTAAGGAAAGTAATTTAAGCACAAATATCATCCTCTCTTGATCTTGTTTCAAACCTTTTATTTATCTTTTGAAAAATAATAAGTTCTATCATGAAACATTTAAAGCTCAAAGAGACCTTTCGTTTAACATGAAACAGTAAAGTATTCGATAAAAAAAAGTCCTACAGGCAAATTTACAATCTTGTAACTTCATCTTCTTTGAAAGAGTAGAAGTTTGCACACTTGATAGATTATAGTATTAAGCCAAGATGAAACAAATTTTTATACTAGCAAACTATTTGTTGTTATGTAGAACAATCAAATATACCATCCAGCATCGAATTCATGTATGACATTATCTAATGATAGCGAACATATTCAAATGCAAGTATGCGATCTTAGTAATGCAGCTCAAAAATGGTCATGGACTCAACGATTACTTAATGAAACGAACAATACTTAAAGTAAAAATGATCATTTGTTATTTGTTGACATATCATAAGATTTCTTTTTAGGTATTACAGTGCAAGAATTAATATAACAAGTTTTCAGTTTTCTCTAATAATTTATTTTTCCAATAGAAGTTGTTAAAAAGAATTAAATAAAAAGATTAATTATATAACTCATTTTTTTAAATAGTTTTGTTTACATGTGAGTTTCTCTTATTTTATAATCTATAATGATAATAAATTGAAGGTTTTCGACGTTAGTTTTAACTATCTTTTATTTATATTTTCTCTTGGAATTTTTTTTTCTCAACATTTTGCTTTATCTCAAAGTAAATCAATATCGTATAATTTGTTTTTAAAATGAACAAAACTTCTAGTCACTAATTTCCGACGCTACAGAAACGATCATAATTTGGTACATGATGAATTCAATTTCTTATATTATCAATTAATGAATCATTATTTTTCACTTTATCCCATTGCATACTATTGTAATTCGAACACATGTCGATCAATCTACATAATTGCCATTGATTATGACCTCCGATACAACTCATTAACTAAAACATTAACGAAAAAAATTCATCGTGAAATCAAAAAATGATCTTATTGGCAGGATCGAAAATTAACCGTACAGAACCTTGCATATTTTGAAAACAAAACATGTAACTATAAAATAAGCTTTTCTTTACAAAAGTATTGACCTTTTCACGTTGCATCTTATGGTATATTTTTGTTTTCTTTTTCATAGAGCATATCAAGTGATAAAAAGATGAAATAAGAAAAAAATAACGAGTTCGTCTTGTATCAAAAAATTCTTTTTTGTTCGCAGTTAAAAAAATTAATGACTCCCAATTGAGCTCATTTTGGAAACTGTGTAACGATAAAATAAGTTAACCTTTGTGAACTGTAGAGCTTACACGCTGCATCTTGTAGTATATTCTGTGTTTTGACACAGCATATTAGCTAATGAAAAAATCAATTAAAAAAAGGTATTTTTTGTCCAGGGAGAGTATAAATTCGATACAACATATACGAATAGAGACTCATTATTTTCTTGAAGGTCGTTATTAGATCGAAAATCAAAAAATAAATAAAAAGTGAGGACATATACACAGCGAAAAAATGTGTCTCCTCAAAATTTCAGCCGAAAAAAATCACATTAACATAATTAGATTCATCATTAACTGATGATAGGTAATTAAATGTCACAAATAAAACTATCACGTTATACCTTGCTACTTTTAATAGGCACTTTAGACCAATAGCAAAAAAACAGATGCTGCATAATGATTATGTGACGATCGTACAGTGATTATCATCTATAGTAATTATAAGGGTATATCAGATGGGAGTGCATTTTTCAAGGTTTATGGTTGAATGCTTCCACCAAATGTATACATCAAAATCAAGGTAAAGCATACATATTTTTGAGTATAAAAATCGTCAAATGTGAGGTATACCTTTCAGTGAGAATCTCATTTCATAGAGATTCAAATGTCGTCCATTTGTTTTTTTTTCTTGTTGTTCTAGATCGTTAAAATCAATTCAACAAGTGTTTTACCAATTTTCAATATTTGACGAAATGGCAGCTAAACCAGTTCACCCAACAGGCAAAATCGAATTAAATGAAAAGTATATGAATGCTCTCAAGAAAAGATCACATCTCAGCGAAGCAGAAATTCGAGAAACATTCGGTTCGTATCTCATAATATAGTTGATATCACACTCATAAATTTCTCTGAATTAATATTCATGTTCAAAATTAAACTTGTAAAGAACTTCTCTATTAAATCATTGAAAAATTTAAAATATGAAATTTAATCTCAGAGAAATTTCAATAACTTTTATATCAAAACTTTGATTCAAACTGCAACTCGTTATACTTTTCTTTTGTAGAAGACTTTCGTTCAAGGGCACCCAAGGGTCAACTCAACAAGGAAGAGTTCATCAAACTATGGAATGAAACAGCACCTAAAACCGATCATGCTGAAAGTGTTGATATAGCCGAGCGAGTCTTCGCTTTTTGCGATCGAGATCATTCCGGTAAATTTTTTGTACGAATTTTTTTCTTTAGATGATCATGTTGTGGTTATTGTTGTTTAGGAAAAATTGATTTTAATGAATTTCTGATGACTGCTGTTGTAATGACACCTGGTACACCATCGCAAAAGCTTGCAATGCTGTTTATTCTATGTGACTTCAATCACGATGGTTTTCTTCAACGAGCTGAAATTGAAAAAATTTTTGGTCTATCCAAAGCAGCTAATAAATCAATCGATCAAAAGGAATTTGAAGCATTCAAAAAACACTTAGATTTAGTCTTTGCACAATTTGATGTTAACAAAGATGGAAAAATTAGTCAAAAGGAATTTCGCCATCTTTGTACTGATGACGAAGTTTTCAAAAAACTGTTAGCCTAATTCATTTTAAAGTTAATACTTATGTGAAAATTTATTACTAGCAAAACAATTCAAGTCCTCGATAGAACAATTAATTGAAGTTTAACAATTTTTTCATTGTCATGCACTTTTTTCAAAAACTAGATAATACAGTCTATAGAAATAAATAAAACATAGTTACTCAACAGTCTCTTTTTTTTTTCACTATATAATCAATCAATTTGATTTTATATCACGTGCACCAAAATATGCCAAGTTTCAAGCAATTTTTTACAGCTTCACAGTAACTTTGAAGAGATAATCGATTTCGAAACACCATTTGCCTTTCTATCACGAGAAATAAAATAAAACCAAACAGACGATTTTGTTGTGACATGATTTCCACTGTCATCACTTCTAGGATACAGGCACCTTTTGTATCAATTTTCGAACCTTCTGTCGAATTTTTGCCTGCATCACAGTGTGTTTTTTCGCACGACAGGCGCGTATGTTCCTTTCATGTTCAGTAGCGGATTTTCTCACTCAGAAATGGTTGAATCTGACGCTATTTAATGCGCTGGTTCAGAATATAAGACTTCAGTCGATTAAATCTTTTATGTCAAAGCCAGAAAATTTGAAAAATATCTGAAAAATCGAGTTTTTTTTTGCAAGCCCACTATATATCACAAGAATATTTAGACTAATAAGGATTAGAGAGAGCGGACAGAAGAACATTCGGGGAAAGTTTGGAAATTGGATTTAGGTGAATTGCTAATCTTAAGAGACTAGCTACTTGAATAACATTAGAAAAATAATTCTGTCTCTAAGAAATTAAACCAGAAAATTCAAAAGTATTTTTATAATTGTGTTGAGTTCGGCTAAGAGATTCAGGAAATTTACTTTATTGGTCTATTGACTAGCTCAATTTAGTCGATGACATTACAGTGGTTCGGCTAATTCTTGGACAATTAGTTTTTCAATATCTTTCAGAGTTGTAATACAGTTACTTATATGATTAGATAGACAAGATTTCGAGATATATTTCTTTACAATTAAATCTTGAGAAAACAACAAGATTTTATTTGACGTGCCCGTTTACATGCATTTGTAGCACGTCTCCCTATTTTCCAATCATGAAATGTCGACAACCTTACATGGAGGAGAACAATATGATCTCTCTTTTCATTCACAAGATACTTTTATGAGTACAAAGCTAAAAGGAGATTGTATATCCAGTGTGACACAGTCGGATTCCTACAGCTCAGAACGATGACTAGTTTCGGTCACTGTAAATGTCACATGCAAAAAATCACAATGTTCTGTAAAGTAAAACCATAGAAAATCATTTTGTTGAATGAATTGATCGCAATAAAATTGTTGATTTTTGTAAGATTTTGGTCACATGGAGAGCTATGATGGAATTCGTAAGAAAATAATGTTTTTTTTATTTATTAAATAACAGTTGCTTGGTTCCATATCTAATTTTTGCTATACGATACTATTTAGAGTTTTCTATACAATGTATATTCATGATAATAATTGTTATAAAGGCTTTTCATGGTCTTTCTATGATTATGTTATATTTCATGTGGAAGAATACAGTAAAATAAATAGAATATGAATTAATTTTACATTCCTTTTTAGATATTTGATCAACAAGAAAAGATACTTTAATATTTATATGAACTCTACGTATTATTGATATAAACTCTCTGATTATGAAATATGAAAATTCTTTTAAAAGAATTTCTTAAATTATTCTTAACTACTCTTATTTAAATATCATGTCGAGTGATATGTACTATTGATAACTTGCGACCTCTTTCAATCATTCGGATTTATTTATAAATGAACCAATCAATTATCAATCTACTTTAAACTCGATCAAAACTCGAAAATTAGTAATTTTTAGATTAATTTTTTGTTCCTATTTGATTGAAAATATCATCATGTCGAACAGTGTTGGTTTATCAACCGTTACTCAATTGTAAGTATTCTTTCCTATATTTAATTTCATTTAATTTTTCCTTATTTTTAGAGTCAAACAGACATGTCTTTTCAATAATCGACAATATGTATCAGCTAAAGAAGGTTTAGAATTTGCTGAAACAGCTATTAAAACAACTAGATCAACATATACATCTCAACAAAATAAACTTGATAATTCATTTTGTACTGGTGCTCTATCAAAAGATGATTATGATAAACAAACAAATCAACTTAAACAACAAGTTGAAATTGATTGTGTTCCATGGGAAATGTATGTAAAAAAATTAACTCAACTTATTGATCAATATTCATTACAATCTGAAACACAACGAAATAATAAACGAACATTTAATCAATCTTCATCTATGAAACAATCATGTATAAATTATATTTTATATTTATTTTATTTGAAATAATTTTCATTTAGATTCAAATTCTTCTATATCGAAACGTAGTCGTATAACATTTTCATCTAGTAGTTCTGATTCAGATATATCTGAACCTATTCCTTCAACGACTGAAAAAAAATCTAAGTCAATTATAATTAAATATGATTCAAGTACAAATACAAGTCCATTAGAATTATCACTTCGTTCACCTTTTTCTTCAACACCAAGTATTATTCCATTTACAGCTCAAACAAATCATATTACACAACGAATTCCTTTACAAGTAAATATTATTCTTTTCAAAAACAAAAACCAAATAGATTTTAGATAACATTAATACGATGCGTTTGTATAGCAGCGGTTATGTATCTATAGATAAGTCTTAAACTTTTCTGTTAACCAAAATCTAAAAGTTTCCAATTCAACATGTTTTGCATATACTGGAATTATAGTTTAGGCATTATATGTATAAAAATCTCAATCATGTTGACATAACTATTTTTCTTCAATTGCCTGACATTGAGATATTGTTTCTTTGTTAAGAATGTTTATTTAATAGAAAATATATGCGAATTTTTAGTAAGTCATATAAGTATATTATTATATTAATTTAATATTATGTAGTTTTACTACATAATGATAGTAAAAATTTTTTAAATCAATTCTATTTTTATCTATTCTTATTTATTTAGCATATTAATGAAATAGCTGCAAAACAAATAGTTCTTCTTCATGATGAAGGACAATTAGTACGATGGAATGATGTTCTTTGGCGTATTTTAACATATTTTCATGTACAAGATCTTGGTAATATAGGTATTCAACGTGCTGATCAAATACCTTGTATTGATAATCTTATTCGAATACAAAATAAAATAAATATTTATCTTGATTCATATGCTTATTGGCAAACTATAGGTACATTAAATGAATTAGAAAATGATTTAGCTCGAATATTTTATAAAAATAATTATAATGAATTATTATTGGGTCCAATAGAAAAACAACCTAAAATTGAAGAATTATTTCGTTTAAAACATATTCGAAATGAATATATAAAAAAAGATCTTAAAAGTTCTGATGTATTAAAATATCTTGATCAATATATGACTAAAGAATTTGCTTGGAAAACAGAAAATGAAATAAATGTTGAACATTTTTTCAAATTTATAGCTAAACAAATTCATGTAAAAGATATTTATCAATTAGGTATTCGAATGAAAAGTGCATATTTAGCAAGAAATGTAAGATTAAAAAAAAAACAATAAAAGATTTAATTAATTTCATAAATAAATTTCGTATTTATTAGTGTATTAAAACTATGCAAGCAAATCAACGTAAAACAATGGAAATAGCTCGAACAGAATTAAATTTAATATTAACTGATCTTGTACAAAAAGAAATTGAAAAAATTTCACAAACTATTAACGATAAATTAGGTAATAATAATAATAATCAACAACGTCAAATTTATGCATCAATGGATCCGATTGATATAATTAATGATCTTATTGAAATTTGTCGTGAAGTTTGTCAAAGTAGGTGAACATATTTTTTATTGTTCTACATAGTAAAGATTTAAGTTTTCTTTCCGGCAGAGTTTTATCTGTGAGTAGAGGTTCGGACTCTTTCCATAAGGTAGGTTTCAATGAGGTATTAATAATTCCGAACTAATATAGGCTACAAGGCTTTTCCTATAGAATTGTAGCTGTTTTACTACAATTTTAGCTCAAAAGAATATTTCCTTCACAGGATATTGAGTATCTAGAAAAACATGAGATTCTCTAATCTTTTGTGGAATATAAGTGATTCTGGTAAATTCAATATTTTATAAAAGGAACATTCTTTTTACCTGAAATTTTTAGAGCATGTCTATGAGTACTATTTCAGACGAAAATATCATCATTTGGTGTTTCTGTACGTATCCAGGACTAAGAGAATACGAAATTCATATATAGTGCAAAGAAATACAGCGATATGACATCCGTTCAGCGGAAGTGCACAACAGCGAAATGTAAAATTGTGAAAGATTAAACAGATGACGATTTATGAGTCTGCTTGTTTGACATTAGTACCGTCCTGTACGCTGAGGTTTCAGTAAATTTGATATAATTCTCTAGGAAAGATCTATGTGCCCTTATTCCCTTAGAATTTCAAATATTTCATTGAGATCTACCTTAAGTACAGAGTCAGAAATGAAAAGGCATTTTCAAATTGGCAAGTTTTCCCCTTACTAGTCAAGATATAGGGTAAATTACAAAAAAAACTTCGATGATGTGAATATTTATTTAGATTATACTTCATTTCGAAAAATATCTCAAGCACTTGATATTATTTCAAAAGATTCAATGTTAAGAAATATATTTCAAATAGCCATTTGTCATGGTAATTTGGAAATGCTCGATCAAACTAATCAATCAAAACAATCATCACATAAAAGCAAATCTAATACAAGCAATAAAATATATTTTCATTCATCTGATTCATCAGATAATGATGTTGAATTAGAAATAAAATCACAAACAAAGTTATCTGAAATAGTTATTAATCATCCAAATGATAATGAACTTCTTCAAGCATTTAAAGAACAATTTGGTTCATTAAAAAATATTACATTTACTTTATTATCTCGAATTGAACAACGTTTATGTGAAAAATTTCATGTAATTCATTTTCAAGAATTAGGTCATGGTACTTTCACTAACTATATAACACAAAATGAACAATTACTATTTCCTATTGACACTAAATTTCAATTATCTTCATCAGAAAATAATGATAATAATCCAGTATTTCTAATTTCATTTGAAGATCTTGAACAATTTATTCTTCAAATACTTGATAGATCAACAGATGAACAATATATTGAACAAATAATTTGTTATCATTATGAAATTGAATCATTTGAACAACTTGGACATGGTTCATTTCGTTCAATATTTAATTCTATTAAACAAAAGAAAAAATCGAAGAATACATCAACACATTTCGAATGTGCTCTGTTCGATGAAATACCAATACTGAAACAAACATTAAATAAAACATCAAAATCATTTTTACAAGGTAAATAATACTATTTGATAAAAAGATGTTTAGCTGTGCCATTGATGTCATTTTATAATATAATTTCTGACAAGAGAAATCATCCAACGGTCCAATCACTTTTAGTCTAGACTATATACATTATGTAGACCCACATGAGCTATGAATGCTCTAACGAGAGTTCGTATCCTTAGCTTAATACTGCGAAGATATTTCACTTTTACGTTATTTTTAAATAAAGTAAAAGTTGTTCCTAGAAAAGAGATATTGACATCACCGTACAATCTAGACTACCTGATACAATACTATATTCTACTACACTTTGTAATGATTGTCGAATAATCAAGAATATTTTCTTAGATTAGTCTTGATAGAAATTATTAATATGTTTAGATCTTGAACAGCAAGCTTTAAATGTTATTAATCAATGTCCACTTCTTGGAAATCTTCATCATCATACACAATGGAATTTACACTTTCGTCCAATATTAGGCAATTTGAAAACTTTTCTCTCTCGCCATTTGATTCCAATACTCGAAATTGATTATGTTACATTTCTAAAATTATCTTCGAGTTCTACACTTGAACTATTCAAAGAAAGTCTTTATAATTATGATTCAATCTTAACATCAGGACATCTTGTCTCAATTATTGTTCAATATGATTCAATAAATAATGCTCCATTATCTCTTCTTTCAAATATAGTACATACATTTTTCTTGACTACAAAACTTGATAATCAATTATATAATTTTCTTATATATGTTTTCTTTCGAATACCATTTCTTCTTCTTTCATCTATTATGGAAAAAATTTTTCTTCAACCATTGATTAAAGTTGAAGGTAGTCAAACGAAAATACGTGAAATATTATGGAAAACTATCGATAAACATGATTCAAATATGATTGCACGATTTATTCAATTAGGACAACAATTAGGATTTACTGAATGGTCAATAGATAAAATAAAAACTGATTCATCAATTAAAACTATTCAACAAGAAACATATTTATCTTTGTCAATTTCAAATCTTGTAACATCTTCGTTAATTTCAAAAATTGAACAAACATTTTCTATTAATAATACTAATCCTTATGATTTAATTGAATGTATTCGTCGAGAAAAATTTGGTATTGGTTTAAATCTTTCAAATGAAAGTCAATATTTAACTGATCAATTAAAATCACTTGTTGGTCGATCATTAGAACGTCTTTCAAAAGAATTATATAATAGTGATATGCATTTTTTACTTGAATTAATTCAAAATGCTGATGATAATCAATATAATAATAAACCTAGTTTAGTTTTTGTTATTGATTCAAATACAATTAATATATATAATAATGAAATTGGATTTCAAGAAAATAATATTCAAGCATTATGTGATATTGGTAAATCAACTAAAGGAAAACATAAACAAGGTTATATTGGACAAAAAGGTATTGGTTTTAAATCCGTTTTTACTGTTTGGTAAGTTGATATTAAAAGAGAAAGTTTATGAGAGTATCGAGAAATTATTTTTTTTTTCTTAATATGCATTTGAAAGTTCATTATCTCAAACTACTAAATCGAAATTGTTAGCTTATTTAGAAGTTTAATAGTGAAGTTAGACAAGATTGATTTTGTAGTATTAACTATCTACCATCCATAAAATAGGAATAATTTGCTCTAATTTGTTGAAATGTAATGCTAATAGACATTTATCAGACAATTTATTCCTATTTTAAATGCATATACAAATCAAACACTTAAATTTTGACCAATGCCTTAATCCTCTCATAAATTTTCTCTTTACAAAAAAAAAATAAGAATAAGAATAAATTATTTATTATATAGTGATCGTCCAGAAATTTATTCTAATGGTTATCAAATTTGTTTTGATGCATCTAATGGTTCAATAGGATATATATTACCTAATTGGATAGAAAATGAAAATCAAGATAATGAATATATAAATTGGACAACACGAATATGTTTACCATTAAAATCTGAAAATGAAATGCAAAAACATAAATCACGTTCATTAACAGAAAGTTTTAATGATATTCGTCCATCATTATTACTTTTTTTAAATCGTCTTCGTTCAATAACTATTCATAATCGTTTAAAAAATTCAAAACAAATCTATGAACGTATTGATATACCTGGTATAAGTATTGTTGAAATACATTGTGAACAAATAATTGAAAAATGGTTTATTATTAAAAAACAATTAATTATTCCAAATGAAATTAAAACAAATTTTGATGATGTTATTGAAGCAACTGAAATAGCATTAGCTTTTCCTTTACATGAAATTAATAATAATGAAAAAGTTATTTTAACTAAACAAGATGTATATGCTTATTTACCATTAAGAACAGTAAGAAACTATTTCAAAATTAATAGTATCAATCATGAACATATCAATGACATTTTATATTGTCTATATTTTGTTAGGTTCTGAAATGTATTTCGAGGAATTATTGAGATTTTTTCTATAAGTTCTGTTCTGTATGTTATTATCAAGCGAAAGAAATTAGGTTAAAGTCAGACTCTTGAGAATTATGACTCTTTTGATACGATTAAAATGTATTATATGCTGTCAATAGCAGTGTTTTATCCAGAGGGGTGCCCGAAGGGGGGCGGCGCCCTCCAGCCCCCAAAATCGAGTTCGCCCCCCAGAGACTTGTGATAATCGTGCTATGAATACATGGCTTCCCCCCCTCCCGAAAATAATTTTTCGCCCCCTCGGAAATTCAAATCGCCCCTCCGGAGAAAAAATCCTGGATAAAACACTGGTCAATAGATAAATTCAAATAAAAAAACGACATAGACCTAAGAATTTTTGTATCTATCTGCTAATATAACGGTTTCAGCTTATAGCCAGACTGGCACCGCCGTCCTAGACTTGTCGAATAAGGAGAATGTGAAGCGATCCTACCTCTATGTTGTTGCCCCTCGTGTTTTAGTCTCACAGCACATCTCTAGGACAGATGTACTATCATTACAGAAGAAGAGATATCGTTTTATTCGTTCAATACCATCGTAATGTACGAGTAATCACAAACAATTAGATTTATCTCTACATAAACTTTCAAACTACTAAAAATATTTTCTGAATGTTTTTCTTTTATAGTTTGGTTTTACTTTTATCATTCAAGCTGATTTTGAAGTAAGTTTTCTAATGTAACTATCAATTTTCTAATCATAAAATCATTTAGGTTCCATCATCACGTCAAGATATTTTAAGTGATAGTATATGGAATCAATTTCTTCTTAATGAAATTCCATCTATTTTTCTCTCATCACTTGATACTTTTTATCAAGAACAATCATTTTTACCTATTGATCCTCTTCATTTATTTCTTTATTTTCTACCAAATGAAACTTCAATTTATAGTAATAATCTTTTTACACCAGTATGTCGAACTATACATCGTTTATTACGTTCTCGTCGATTTCTACCTGTTATTAATGATAATAATTTACATATGCCAAATGAATGTGTATTTATAAATGATTTAACTATAAAAGAAATTTTAACACCTGAACTTTTATATAATCATTTAAATTTATATTATTTAAAAGATGATTTATATGAATATGAAAAACAATTATATGAACTTGGTGTACATCATCTTGGTCATAATGAATTAATTAATTTTATTAAACAAATATTTACTACAGAAATAACAATTGAAAATAAAAAAATTCTATCAAAATGGTTTTGTTGTTTATATCGATGTTTAAATGAAATTTCATTAATTGATGAACAAAAAGTTTTAAAACATATACAATCATTAAAAATATTTCCATTAAAAAATTATCAAGAATTTATTTCAGTAAATTATATTAATCAAATTATTTTTTTTCCATCAAATAGTATTCAATTACCAAAATTAATTGAAAATGATTTAATGATTATAAATGATGAATTATGGATGAATTTAGAAGAAAATTCTATAGAAAGAATTCAAATACAAACATTACTTGAAAGACTTGGAATACAACGTTTAACACATCGAGCTATTTGTGAACAACATATATATCCAATTTTTGAAAATGATAAACTATGGAAAGAAAAATCATCAGAAACTCTTATTGCTTATGTTATGTATATTTTTGATCTATGGTCAAAACAGGTAAAACTACAAATATGATGAATATAATTAATATTAATCTTTCATAGTAATTATGGAATCTACATAAACTTATTTTGTAGTTTTTGTTCTTCAGTACATTTGTACTTATTTTTTCTTCATACGACTTTCATTTTCGAATCGTTAATACTGAAGATTCGTGTTATAGTTTACGAATTCGTTTTAAAAACGAAAATACAGATTCGAGATGCGCTCAGATTCAAAAGAGCTATGTCATTGTAGATATTATTTCTGGTTTTCTTAACCTTAACTTTTAAGATTACTATAGTTTCGCATTGGGAACATACTTATTTACCGTTGTCGCTAATGATAAGTATTAGAAAGTGTTGGAGTATATAAAGTGGAAATTTGCACTTCTCTATAGACAATGAAAGACATTACTAAGGAAATGTGACAGACATCTTAGCAGTGACATTGGTTTTCTAACAATAATTGCTTCCTATAAGTAACAAATAGAACTCTTATTGATTACAAGTACAAAGTGTAAATATATTGAATTAAAACGGAGAAATCGCTAATAACGTAATACAGATCTTATTATTTATACAATTAAAAATAAAAGAAAAATAGAACTCACATGTGGATATGGATGTTATTGAAGAGAGAACTTACATTCACACCCTTCATTGTTCATGAGAAACTTCATGTGCGTCACTCCTTAGTGAACCGTCTAGTCACCTAAGATGTTTAGACATCCACTAACCCTTAAGTCGAGTTACTGAACGCCGTCCGGGACCGCAGAAGGGCTAAAATGTACCCATATAAAATTCAATAAAAGTGTCTGAAGACTAATATGAACCAGCATATTGGGCTTTGTAGCTTTACGGCCTGTTCATGCACTGAGTTCTGCTAGAAGACGTGAAGCATGGTTTTTCTTAGCAGATTCCTTAACTGACCATCATCCCTACACTGAGCGTCCAGCGGTACTATTACAGTCCCCCTCCCATAAAACTACTACCCTACTAAGTAAGAGCGTCATCACCCTGTTCTATAATTCACCATACATACAGGCTTATAACAAACGTTTTGAGTGAGAGTCACAGAGTGCCATGAATGCCAACTGTCAGATGTTCAACAATAGGTCGATCGGTTCACTAGGGATATCGATTCGACCAACCTAGAGCGTGTTGGTCTACACCACATGCAGATTCGCCGTTTCGGAGTTCGACGAATCGAACCGCTATACGTTGCCATGGGATCTCCACTTGGCGGCTTCTACTTGATCCCCCATGAGGAACAAGTATTATTGAAAAGCAACAGTCTGCAATATAAGAGTTGTGTTATCTCGCGACAGGTGCCTCAGCAACGTCTTTCCTTACTCGTTGCAGTACTCCTCCTTCGTGCGTTACGAATCGTATATCAATAACGTCTCATAATAATATATGAACTATTTTCTTATTGTATTTTTTCGAGTATTAAATAAAACGGTCCCGAAATAGATTAAATGGAACAATGTTCTTGTGATTTTTAGCAAGAGATACATACAAAATTAACTTTTTTTGAGACTTTTCATTCATTATTATCTAAAAAAGCATGTTTTCTTTCTTGAAGAATCATTATATCGATATGTCTCGATTAAAATCCATTGTTCAATTATTAACAAATCATGGTTTTAAACAACCAATACATCATTCAATTTATTTTACACCAAAATATGGTAATCCATATAATTTATTAAAAGATTTCAATGCATATAATTGGATATTAATTAGTGATGAATATATTCATGAAAATTCATCATTAAATTATCGTAAAAAGCTCTATGAATTTTTTTCTGAATTAGATATTTCAAATTTTTTATTTCCAATTAATAATTTTACATATGAACAATTTAATTCTTTAATTAAAATTCAATCAATATCAATGAATAAAAAACTTTTTTTAGCATTACAAGAAACTTATATAAATTTTCATATTAATGAATTATTTTTAAATTATTTAAAAGAATCTATATGGATACCAACAATTCAAATATTTTATTCTTATAATGAACAAAATAATTTAATTGAATTAAATAAAATTTATAAATTAGATAAATCAAATAATATTTATATAAAAACAAAACAAATTGAACAACTTTTTGGACAACATATTCAATATATTGATATTGATATTGATATTAATTCTTCATTTGCAAATGATATTGGTCTTATTAAACATATAACATTAGTTGATGTTATTTCAATGTTACTTAATTGGTGTAATAATTCAATTTTTTATACTTCAATATCTCATATGCAAAATATTTATCAATATATTTATGAAAATATGAATATTAATGAATTACGAGATTTAATTAATACTAAATCAATTTTTTTTGTACCTTATTCATCATCATTAAATCATACAGATATTGTTCGTGGTAGATTTGTTAATATATCTGAAGTTTATTGGTATGATTCAACAAATCTTTTTATTAAATATTCTTCATTATTGAAAATAACTAATCATTATTTACTTGAATCATATTATAATGAACAAAAAACAATTTTTCTTGATATATTTTCTATTCGATTAAATCCAACAATTGAAGAATATATTAATTTATTAGGTATAAAAATTTTATAATTATTTTATTGAAATTTAAATATTAATTTTATTTTAGTTCATATCTCATCACTTGAAATAACAGAAAATACAATTCAAGATGCATTTTTAATCTTTAAAACTATTGGAAAATTTTGTGAACAATCAAATAATCTTATAGAAAAAAAAGATTTACAAAGTAAGAATTTTTAATAATGAATTATACTTTCTTATATAAATTAAACGTTAAACATCGATTATTGATGCTATTCTTAATGTATAAAACAATCATTATTTTCAAAGTCTCACGAGGAAAGGCCATCAACTGTTCAATCGCTTTTGCATTGGAACCATTTGCGTTATGTAGTTTCCAAAGAGTTATAAATATGCTGAAAATATTTTGGGCGGATAGCTTTTTGTTATGAAAATAGTCCATTTGTAAGGTACGTTTTTGATGATTGCCGTGGTCCCCCTCAGGAACATTAAAAATATTGATTTTCAAATTTCGATTTGAAACTTTACAGAGAAATACTTCTCAACGAGAATAGTGTTTTCTGAAAGTGTTTCAGGCCTTTTGATTGCTTGTTTCACCAAATCTGCTACTTTATTTGAAGGATATAAAATACAAATTTCACAATAGGAGTGTGTAGTGATAGCAACACTAGAAAAATCTGAAACATTCACAAAAAGTTGTTCTTCTTGGTGCGTCTTTCGATGTAAATTTTCAAGTCGAAATTCGAAAATAAATTTTTTTAATGTTCCTGAGAGGGACTCCAGGCACTCAATAAAACCCATACCTTACAAATGGACTATTTTCATAACAATAAGCTATCCGCCCAAAATATTTTCAGCGTATTCATAAATCTTTGGGAGCTACATAACGCAAATGGTTTCAACGCAAAAGCGATTGAACAGTTGGTGGCCTTCCCTCGTAAGTAATGAACCATTTTGTCAAGATTAATGAAATGTTAAAATTAGTTTCTATTTTGTTCACATTCAAATTTATCATTTAATCATGATCGAGTTAATCTGGATGAATATTTTATCTTATTCTGAGTCATTTCTTCTTTATTCAAGTATATTTTAACTTAAAGTTGATTTAATCATATTCGAACATACTTCGAATTTCAAACAGAGATGAAGTTGGATTACATTTCAGAATGAAAACGAACTAATCCATTTTAAATTCAAATTTTATAGAGAAGATGCTCATTCTAGTACACTCTTGGTACGCGTTCGCTTATTACAAAACAAATCTATATAAAAGAAAACTCTTACGAATTTGAATAGATTCTTATGCAATCAACGAATAATAAATTCTGTGATTCAGTAATAATCGATGTTTAAGTTTTTCTTTTTATTATACATCAATGTATTCCATTCTGATGAAATTTTTAATTTAGATAAACTATCTCATAAATCAATTTTTCCTACAAAAGATTATCGTTGGGTTTCATTAGATGATAATCCATTGATATGTGATAATAATGATATTGCTCAATTATTTATTCATATTAAAAATATTTCATTGATTGATATATTATCATCAGATGGTACATACATAAATTAATTAATTAATTAATAAATATTTTGATTATTTTTTCTAGTTTTAATATTTTTTAACATGTGTGATATAAAATCACTTTCATCATCAATTACAATAGAACATATTATTAAAAATCCATCGAATGGAATATTTATTCAAAATTTACTTTCTTCACTTATTCCATATGTACAATTATTTATGAAATCTCGAACAGAATTTTTTGATGCATATCAATGGACAAAATCAATAAATATGTCATCATTACTTATGAATATTCAATTTATTATTGTTGATTATCTTCAATTAATTTATCGATTTAAATCTGATTCATCTATTTGTATAATTCAAGAAGAAAAATTTTATTATGATAAAAATTCAATAATTTTTTATATTCATCATGAATGGACAAAACAATCGAAATATTATCGTAATATATTTCATTCATTTGCTCGTATATTTATACCTTATCATAATGATGATTTAATTTGTTCACTTGGCAATTTTATGAATTTATTATATAATGAAGAAGAAAATAATCTTGAAATATTTGCTAAATATCAACATTTTGATTTAGATTTCAAAGATTTAAATGATATTCCATGGCATATACCATCAACATCAAAACAAATAAAATCTATTGAACCAAATATTGGTATTTATAGAAAAAAAAAACAGAAAAAAAGAATTTTAATTAAAATAATCATATTTAGATGAAAATAAAGTTCGAATGTTACTTGAAAATGTTGCTCAAAATCAAGAACAATATAATGCTTATAAACAAAAGAAACGACAAGAATTAAAACAACATCTATCTGAAACTTCTACAATTTCGACTAATTTATCTATTGAACATCAAAATTCTTCTGGTAAAGAATAAAGAATTAAAATATAATCCATAAATTTTGTCGTCATTGAATTAGAACAGTTTTTTTCTAAAATATTCTTTAACTATTATAATCTCAGAATTCGATAACCTTAGATTGTTGTTTATTCAAGAAAGATTAAATAGCAAGTCAAAAATCCCTAATATCTGCACAATTCGACTTCGACTGTGTTACAACTGGATCTGTTCAGTTTTTGCCCATTTCAAAACAGAAGGTCGGTGGTTATTTTTTGAATAACTTTCGATAGAAACAAGATAGAGAGCTGAGATTTTCACCATTGGCAAGAAGAGATGAAGACGCATCGAATCGTATATTATAAGATGTTCTCTAAAGCTTTCTTGATTGATTTTGTAAAAAAAAAATACCGGAAACTTGATTTCTCACAAAATAAAAAAAAACGCAGAAAAGTATTTTTTTTCGCGGAAATTCATAGCAAAATGGGCGCAAAATTTCAAGTAAAGTCGAGGAAATCTAAAAATCTGTGCCGTGTGTAGTTTTATGGATCTTCGATTAGCAGTTCCAATGCACACTTGATTATTGAAAATTTATTTTAGTCATATATCGAAGCACGTTGGTTTTTAAAGGCATCGACTTAACTCCTTGAGAAAAACTAGATTAATTTATCCTATAATATAAAGTTCGATGCGTTTTCATCTCATTTTGCCAATGGTGAAAATCGCCACTCTCTATCTTGTTTCTATCGAAAGTTATTCAGAAAATATCCACTGGCCTTCTTTTTTGAAAGGAAGATTAGTTTACGATTTGTATGATCCAGTTCGGAATGACATAATTAAAAGTATATGTCTTTTATATCAAGGATTTCTACATAATAGAATTCCAATCATTACTGCAGTCATTTATTAGGACATTGTAAAACGTTTATTACTATAGTTAATGTTGAAAATGCATGTTGCTCAACAGTATGAAGTGTACCAACTTTTTATAGAATTCCGAGTTGTTAGAATAGTTAATTAGAAGAATTATTCTGAATAACTTTCCGCTTGGATTGAAATTCATGTAAACCTACATTCTTTTTTTTTTGCTCGACAACTTCAATAGAAACTAGATACAATTAGAACATCGTTATGTATTTTGATCTTGTGTTTTACTTTTAAAACAACATTGTATATCATTTTCTCTATAGATGATTTGATTTCTCGATTTGATAATATTCGTTCTGGTGCCTTATCAGCAATCATTGATACACCCTATGAAACTATTGAACAACATACTAAACATGTGAATATCGAAGATCTAACTCATCAAGTACTTGATAATCGAAATTCAACAATTGGTTCGGATCAAGAATCTTTGGAAAAAATTGGTCGATGGGGTAATATATATTTTTCTTATTTAAATTTATCAAAAATTTCTAATTAATCTTACAGGTGAACAATGGGTTAATGAATATCTTCGTGCTAAATATCATGATAAAATTCAATTGAATGAAATTGAAATTGTATGGCTTAATGAAAAATTAGAACAAGGAAAACCATATGATTTTATTTTAAAAAATCTTAAAACGAATATAATAACATATATTGAAGTAAAAAGTACTTTAAGTAATAATCGTCAATTAATACCAATAACATATAATGAATTACAATATTGTTGTTCATTGTCAGATATAAATCAACATTTTCAAATCTATCGTATTTATAATACTGGTCAAGTAAAAAAAGTTAAATTACGTATTGTTGAAAATGTTGAAGAAAAATTACGTAAACATGATTTAGAATTGTTTTTGTTAATTTGATACGTTTTTTTTTTGTTTTTTGTTAAAATAAAAAAAACAAATGTTCTTTAAAATCTTTATTTATTTACATTGAAGATGATTGTCTGTTATCGACGATTATTTTCTGCTTTAACAAAAAATCATAATCAAGCATTTTTAATTAATTTAGCATCATATCGTATTGTAAGTTAATAAAAACAAAAAAAAAACAAATATTTTATTTTTTTTTTTGAAATAAATTGATTTAAAATAATAAAATAGAATCCTATTGAAACACACAATCAAATAACTGTACCACATTCAATGATTAAAAATATTGAAAGACAACGAGCTAAGAAAATCTATAAAAAAGAACAAGAAGAAGATCCACCTGGAGTAAGTTTATTTGTAAGAATATCACTTATATATATATATGAACTTTTTTATAGGATCGATCACAACCACCAGTAATTGCATGTAAACGTACTGAGTTTAATCATTATCCAGGTAATTTATAATCTATGAATTCTTGTAAGAAAAGCTGTTAGCACAATCCATGCAGGATTAAATTGTGAAATACTAGTTCATCATCTTTTTAATTAATCCTCAAGAAATGTAACAAGAATCTAGTTCATATCGTATAAAAGGACGTTATTCATATACTATTTTTGTTTCAATATCAATAGCGTCTGTAATATTCTATGCTGCAAAGGGGAAGGGATACTATGCATCTAGGCACACATTCAGCTAAAAATGAAAATCGTTATGTCATCCGGAAAATTACTATCTGATAAAATTAAACTGTTTAATTTTTTTCCTATGGTGTCATACGAACGAATGGTTCTCGTAACATTCTCAGGCATTTTTCGTCGAAAAATTTTTTTCTCTACGTCATATTCAATGATTTTTGAGCAAAGAAATACGTTTCAGAGTAAGAAAGTGGCATGTCCACTTGCCGTATGAAAAATGTACACTGTAGACACGTTTAAGAAATATTTGTCACGTTCATGATTTGCCGCTACGAAAAGATGTACATCTGTTTCTAGAGCTAGTATATCGTAGGGAGCTCAAGAACTCCGCACCAATCTGGCTTTTTGTCTAGAATTATAACGAGTATTAACTATAGGAAAAATATTGAACTATGGAATCTAATACTCAGCGACACTTCACATCGCAAGTCAGCCGAAAGGCAAAGAAATTCTTTCTTCAAATCTCTATTCTATATACTTCAACAATCCTTGTGGATTACGTTTTGCAAAAAAGAAGTTGAAGATATTCGTTCACAGAGTAAAATAATCTTAGATGCAGTAGATTACACATTATAATATGTAACAAATACATAAATCGCAAATTTTGAAAGATATTTTTAAAATCTTCTTGTTGATACTGAAAATAATTCGTTCATCATTGTTAATTTAATTCTACTTACACATTCCATTGACAAAAACTCGATTCATTACATTTTAATAGATAGAAAATGTTCTTTTTTTGTTTTTTCTTAAAGGTCGTCAATATCGACAGATGACTGAAAAACATGTTGCTTCCGGTGCTTGGCAACATCGATTATCAAAAGGTGACTTTTTTACTATTGATCAACATTTTAAAAATCCATCATGGACTCAATCAACTGTTCAAACATTTGAACAACTTAATTGTAAACCAGAACTTATAGAAATCCTTAAAAAAGCAAATATTCATAATCCGACTTCAACTCAATCACGTGTTATACCAGAATTACGAACAGGTCATCATATGATTGTCGCTGCTGAAACTGGTAAGAAACGAAAATTTATAATTATTCTACATAGATTTATTTTTTCTCTTCTTTTGGAAAGGTGGTGGAAAAACATTAGCATATCTTGTACCTCTTATTGAATCACTTCTTCATTGGAAATCATCAAAACATTTAATACAAATGGAAAATGCACCATTTGCAATTATTCTTGCACCAACTCGAGAATTAGTCACTCAGATTGAAGTGAGAGAAAAATAAGAAATGTATTTTCTTTTTTTCTAAAAGGAGAATTTTCTTTTTAGAACATGTTACAAGTATTTAATCAATTAAATGTTCGAACACGAAGTTTAATCGGAATCAATACAGATAAAGTAACTGATTTTCTTTTACGAGGAAATCACTGCAAGTTAAGAAATTTACCGAAAATTCAAAGTACAGAATTTCGATCTGAAACTTTCCTTATACAGATTTCATGACTCTTATAGTTACCTGAATGTTAAAAACCAAACAAATGCTTTTCTCCAGATAAAGAGTGTTACAGAAATACCCTCAAAGCACCACATGTAATGAAAATCGACTTTCCTGAAAAAATAGCTATGTCGAGAAAAACAACCATTCATTTTGATTGTGACTTTCAAGGGTATCCATTCCTCTTTTGAACCATTAGTAGTAAAAAAAAATATTGAAAAGAAGGTCTTTATGAATTTTTGAAGAGATCTTCAAAAAACCTCGGACTTGCTATGAACCGAAGCCATAAGCAAGCTCGATGGTTTTTAAAGGTCGTTCAAAAACTGCTAAAGACCACATTTTTAAATTTTTTCATCGAACATAGATCCCATCATTTTCGATAATGTGCCTGTAGTTAGTGTTTTAGCCCAATAGACTTCACATCGAAATTTTGTACTTTGAGTTTTTGATAATTCTAGTAAAATAACCATAACTCGGAAAGAGAAACCTGTGAACCTTTTCCTAATCTAACTAAATTCTAATTTGAAAAAAAAAATATCTCAGTGCAAGGCATCTGAATGGTTTGCAGTGATTTTCTCGTTAGTTTTTTTTTTTTTTGCATATTCAAATGGTTTTTATTTTCGATAGGATCCTCTTAATTTTACTCTTGGTGAAGTTGATATTATTATTGCTACACCCGGTATTCTATTACGACTTTTAAGACAAGGTAAATCTTGATTTTATCGTTGTATTTTCCTCTATTCTTGCTCGATCTAGATGAACATTTTGGTATTGAACGACGTTTAATCGGTAGTAATCTTCGACATGTAATCGTTGATGAAGCTGATACTCTACTTGACATCACATTTAGTCCTGCTGTTGTTGAAATTATTCGACGTTTAGAAGTAAATGATGAATATATTTAAGCAAATTGTAAAATAAAAATATATGAAATTACAATATAGATTGATGTACAACCAATAAATGATCATGAACAGAATGCTTCACCAGCTGTTCAACTTATTTTTGTTTCTGCTACAATACCTACAACGACTGAAGAAAGTCTGAAAGAATTAATTAGTGTTCGTATTGATATAAATAATGTTATCAAACAATTGTATTTAGTTTTGTTTTCCTTCATAGGCTGATCAAATTAATAAAATGTTAACTCCATCTGTACATCGTATTATGCCACATGTTCCTCAAAAATTCTATCGTATTGGTAATCAACAAAAACTTGGTTCGTTATTAAAATTTGATAATTCTTAATTTTTTAGTATTTATTATTATAGGTCTTCTATTAAAACTAGTCAAATATGATTTAGAAAAGAAACATCCTTGTTTAATATTTTGTAATAAAACAAAAACAGTAAAATTTCTTCAACAATTCTTTCGTGATCAACGTATTGAGATTCTTGTTATGCATAGTCAAATGACTGATACAGTAAGTTCTTCATCTCTTATAATGATTTAAAAAAAGAAAAAGATCATGAGAATTTGATAATAAAGTTTTTTTTTGCAAGTAGATGTTCGAAAACTTATCATAGTGACTGTCAACACAGTTATTATTTATATTGTGTTTGACAAATAATGAAAATATTGAGCATAATTTCCTGAATCAATTTGATTGTCGTTCGATTTTTTTTGTCATTTCAATTTTTCTAAATTCTTATTTATTCGAAATCACTAAAAAACAATCAGTTTTTGCAGTATTTTTTTTCTTAGATGTTAGGTGAGCGTCTAGTTATTTTCAAGACTTGAATTAGTTTTCGCTTACAGAATTTTTTTTTTTATTATTTCGTAGAAACGTACAAAAAGTCTCGAACAATTTCGAAATGGTGAGAATAATATAATGTGTGCTACTGATATTATTTCACGCGGTGTTGATACTTATTGGGTAAGATTTTATAATATTCTTTTCTTTAAATATTTAATAGTTTATTTATTTATTTAGGTTGAACATGTAATTCAATTTGATTTTCCACGTTTTATGTCGGATTATATTCATCGTACTGGTCGTGTTGGTCGTATTGGTTCAAAAAATCCAGGCAAAGTATCAAGTTTTGTTAGTCGACCATATGAAGTAACTCTTGCTCAAAAAATCGAAGTAATATTAGAAAAAAAAAAAAGTTGAAATAAAATATTTTCAATTATTTAACATATTTCTTTTCTACAAGGTTACTGCTCGTATGAATAAGAAGCTAAGTGGAGTAAATAATGATATAAAAAACCAATTAGCTTTGCATGCACAACAACGCGAACAAAGACAAGAAAAATTAGATAATCGAAAAGTACGAGAAGAACTTTGTAAAGACGTTATTCGTTCAGCTATGGTTTAAATACTACATAATAGATGTATTGTTATCATCAATAAAATAAAATATATATTAAGATTGTTTATTTATATTTTCATTATTTAATTCAATAACAGATGATACTGATGAATGCATAGATGCATTTGAATTAGATCGATGTGGTTCACTAAATGAATATTTCATAGGTGTTGTTGGTTTTTGTATATTTGTTGATTGATCAAAATCATTATTTATATCTTTTTCTTGATCATTTGGTATTATTGGTGTACTATTAACTGATGAAGATTTTTTTGTTGAACTTGTCAATATTTTATTTTCATATTCATCATTATGATTATTATGTATATCACCAATAGAAAGATTATTTGCAAAAGAATCAATTGTATGTGCAACTTTTGAATAACGCAATTGACCAGGTGTTATTGGTCGATGAAGAACAGGATCATTTGTTGATGAACTTTGTAATATATTATTATAAGATGTTTGAAAATTTGTTATTTTTTGAGAAGCATAATGTTCAATAATTAATTTTTCACCACTTAATT